TGTGCATTGTACATTATAACAATAAAAATTAATATAATAAAAAGGAGATTTTTGAAGACTGTATCAGAAAAAAGTAGAATTTGACAGAGCCGAGGACATAGTGAAGGGAGTGATGATAGCTTGGGCAAAAAATGTAGGGCATACTATTGAATTAGAGGATTTAGAAACAATTTGGAACAGAAATTATAAAATAACAAAATCAGCAAAATATAAAGAGAACCAATACAAAATGTTTTATCATTGGTATTTGACACCTTCAAGATTGGCAAAAATATACCCAAATTTAACCCCAAATTGTTGGAAATGTGGACAAAAACAGGGTACCTTCTTTCATTCATGGTGGTTATGCCCAGAATTGGAAAAAAAAATTGGAAAAAAAATACAAACTTGGTTACAGGAATTAACTGGCTTTCAAATAGAATACACACTGGAATTGTTTCTTCTCAGGATAACGATAAAAAAACAACGTACATCATTCTACATATAATAATGGCGGCAAGTCTAGCCTTTGTGCAGTGTTGGAGAAATACAAATATACCCTCTGAAGTTGCCATGGTAACAGCACACCCTCCCGCCCCACCACATCTGGCCAGAGGAGGAGGGGGAGGAGGAAGAGGACCGCCGGAGCCTTAGTGCAGGAGCGAAGCAGCTCCAGACTTGCCTTCATGCCACATTTGTGCTCAAGGCAGCCTTTGCCTTCTGCCACTTTGGGCTGGATCTTGCACCCACCACGCTCGGCCGAAGAGCTGCGGGTGGGGTGGGGGGACGGGACACAGCAAGGTGATGGCCAGAGGCTTAGTGCAGGAGTGAAGCAACCCTGTATTTCCCTTCATGCCACATTTGTGCTCAAGGCAGCCCTCCCGCCGTTTCGGCCTCAGAACTGTAAACCGTATCCTGTGCTAAGGGTGAGTGGGGCAGGATTGCATTGTTGCTCCGCATTGTAATGGGCTCCAGGAGGAGGAGGCACCCCATCTCCCTCATTGTGAAGTGTGCTAAAGTTCACTGTGCTGCACAAGGCACTGCAAGAGTGCCTCATGGCCTGCCTGATGCCTCAGATCAGAATCAGAGGAGGGGGGGGAGAGAGAGAGAGACAGAGAGAGATACAGAGACGGGGAGAAAGAGAGGGGGCAGAGAGAGAGACACACACAGAAGGGGGAGAGGGGGGAGAGACAGAGACACAAAGAGAGATACAGAGGGGGGAGAGGGGGGAGAGAGAGACACACACGGGGGTGGGGAGAGAGGGGAGACACACACTCAAAGAGAGATACAGAGAAGGGGGAGAGAGGGAGAGAGACAGACAGACACACACACAGATACAGGGAGAGAGAGAAGAGAGAGAGATACACACAGAGAGGAGGGAGAGAGAGACACAGAGAGAGACACAGAGAGAGATACAGAGGAGGGGAAAGAGGGGGACACACACACACACACACAGAGAAAGAGATACAGAGATGTGGGAGATAGAGAGGGGGAGAGAGAGAAGGGAGAGAGAGATACACACAGAGAGGTGGGAGCTGGCAATAAATAAATACCCGGGCAATGCCGGGTTATCAGCTAGTTCTTAATAAAAGCACATATCATGTACTGGGGGAGTGAAGCTGATGAACAAAGTCTTTGGAGTGTTGGGTGATTATGTCCTGCTGAGCTAGCATTGTTTGTATCCTTTTCTTAGGAAATCCTCTAAGTTTCAGTTCTACTGTTCCATGAAATGTTTTAATTGTCTAACAGTATTAGCTGGCAGAAATTTCTGGTAAATGGCAATAACTACAGTATATGCATCGCCAGTAAACAATTCTTTGTTCCTAAATCCACACCAGATTTATCACAAGGCATTTTTGATCTAAGATCCTCCTCAGACACTAAGATCATCTCTCTTCCACTGCAACTGTTTCCTCGCCCTCCTTATGTGAGATGGGAGTGCCTAGAAACACTAAAATTCAAACTTACTCAATGATACATTTTGATTGTTCCAGTATAAGTTGTTTAGAATCATAACAGGCATCTTCTCAATACTTTTTCATCATGACTTCTTCGTGTTCAGCTTCATTTTCTCTTTATAAGATGCTTATATCTGTAAACTTTCCTCAACTTAGAATTGAAACAAATAGTATTGTTATCTATGGGACCGAAATTAAATCAATAAGATAAAATCTTAATTTTATATCTCATTAGGTCTCATTCACCACTCTCTCTTCCTGTGTGTGCCTTAAAATTAAATAACAATTGTCTGATAGTTGTGGAAATTACAATCCCAGTATTTTTGAAGGGGACCAGATTAAGGCAAAGCAATAGACCTTTCAGAGGTTCCATTTTTTACAAAAGTCATTTTATGCAGGAAGAGATTTTCCCATTTAATGTCTATTTTTTGGTGTACTCCAGCCACAGGAAAATGCAGGCATATGCATCTTCCCACGCCCTGGAATGTCTTTAAAATTTCTGATGGAAATACTGTCATATGAAAAAGAAAGTACATCCTCTTTGAGTTCTATGGTTTTACGTATCAGGACATAGTAAAAACCATCTTAGAGGTCTTCTAGTCCAACTCCTTGCTCAAACAGGAGACCCTATACCAAGACCAGTCTCTTCTTAAAAGCCTGCAGTGATGAGTAGCAGCTAGATGCTGCTGATCAGGTGCTCTTGATTAATTTATCATCAGCAGGTGTTGAAATTGAAGTTTTAGGAGTCTGCTGCCCTCCAGCATTGAGCTATATGTTAACACAATGTCAAAGAGGAAAGACATAAGCAATGATCTTAGAGAAGCAATGTTTGCTGCTCCTCAATCTGGGAAGGTTCATAAGGCCATTTTCAAACAATTTAAGTCCATCATTCTACAGTGAGGAAGATTATTCACAAATGGAAAACATTCAAGACACTTGCCAATCTTTCCAGGAATGGAAAGCAAATTCACCCACGGTCAGACCGTGCAATGCTCAGAAAAATTGCAAAAAATCCAAGAGTTACATCTCAGACTCTACAGGACTCAGTATGTTAAACTCCATGACAATATAATTAGAAAAAGATTGAACAACCATGGGTTGTTTGGAAGGGTTGCCAGGAGAAAGCCTCTTCTCTCTAAAAAGATCATGGCAGCATGACTTAGGTTTGCAAAGTTGCATCTGAACAAATCACAAGAATTCTTGAACACTGCCCTTTGGACAAAAGACCAAAGTGGAGATGTTTGGCCATAATGCATAGGGCCACATTTAATGAAAACCAAACACAGCAGATCAGCACAAACATCTCATACCAACAGTCAAGCAAGGTAGAGAAGGTTGCAGCTACGAGACCTGGGCATCTTGCAATTATTGACTTGGCCATAAACTCCTAATTACTAAATATTCTAGAGTCAAATGTGAGGCCATCTGTCTTAACAGCTAAAGCATAGTCAACATTGGGTCATGCAGCAGGACTATGATCCCAAGCATACCAGCAAATCTATAACAGAATGGCTGAAAAAAAGAATCAAGGTATTGCAATGATCCAGTCAAGAGTGCTGTGAATAAACAAATGTTCACAAACATCAATGAACCGAAGCAATGTTATAAAGAAGAGTGGGGCAAAATTCCTCCACAACAATGTGAGAGACTGATAAAATCATATAGAAAATTATTCCTTCAAGTTATTGCTGCTGAAGATGTTCTAAAAGCTATAGAATCATAATGTGTACTTAGTTTTCACACATGGCTTCTCCAGTTTGGCTTTTTTTTTGTAAAATAAATGATGACGTGGTATAATATGTCATGTGCTGTTTATCTGAGCTTGTCTTTACCTACTTTTAGGAACTGCCAAGAACGGGATGATTTTTATTATATCTTGATATGTAAAACCATAGAACTCAAAGAGGGTATGCTTACTTTTTCACATGGCTGTAAGATGTGCACTTTCTTTAGAAACTTAAAAGCACACCTCAATTTTGGCACAAATGCCATAAAAAGCCCACTTTTATCTAAAGTCTACTCGTGCTATTCTCTGTAAGTTATGATCTATAATCTTCCCTGTAAGACAACATACTCTTGCCCACATCCTATCAACTAGGAGGTACATGGCACATACTGACTCTGCTTGTGATTTATGCCTTTACTTTCTTGATTTATTATTCTTGCATTCTTTGTAGTTCAAGCTTGATTCTTATCACCTATGTTTAAGGGCCATGGAACATCTCTATTTCATGGTTTTACAACAATCAGATCACATCTGTTGGAAATGTGTAGCAAATTGCTTTACAGGATTTATCTCCATAACTTTAATTTGAAGAGTGTTTGAAGTCCATCCCCTGTGGTTGAGAATGTGCTGCCTTCCCTCATCAGAATTCAAGGCAGTTCAGAGGAAAACATCAATAAAAATGTTGTAATGTCTGTAATGTTGTAATTTTCTTCAGCACTGCAAACAACTACATCAGCTCCCAGAATGCTATATTGTAACCCTTACTGAGTTTCGGGATTATACTGGCACAAACTTTGCTGCCACCACTGGCAATTTTAAACTTTCCCTAGATTGATGTGCTATTCTTATTTATAGTATACAAGGGGAACTGTATACAGAACAGGGACTGATGGATGCACCTTCCTCTTCCCTCCCTCTCTCCCTCCCTTCCTTCCTTTCCTCTGTCAAGAGCCAATGAGAGAACATCTATTAGTTACTATCCTCAGGGTTGGAGCTGGAGAAGAGGCATATTTTGACAGATGGCAAATCTAGCAGGCTTAGTCACCTGATAAAACCCATTCTAATGTAATGCAATGTTTTCTGTGGATGCAGTCAAATAATGTTTTGTCATTATTAAATAGCAGCTATTAAATGTTCTGAGATCAGTGTTTATTAAGAGTTAAGATTGTATCCAAGTCTAAGCATATAAAACTGAAACATCTGTCTTCAAAGTAACACATTTCAATCGATGTTTCTTTGGGTACAGATCTACCTTCAAGAAGAGTATATAGGCCTATTAATATTAACCCACCAACTCATTCATCCATCACTAAAACATTACTCTATAATCTGCTCAGATCACTTCAAATATTGGATGGATCAGAAGAAGAAAAAACAATTATGAAGCACCACTGTTTATTAATAATCAAGAACACACCAAAGTAAGAAATCAATTATTTATTTTATGTGTAAACAATTTAAGGGAAAATAGCAGAACAAAATGACATAAAACTGAATGATCAAGAGGCAAAGTAACCTATGTATTGGCTCAAAAATCTGTCTTCTGAGAATTTCCTTCCTATCATTCTTCTGTACCTTAATTAGGGCAGCCAAATATAGTCAGTATGTTGTACAACTCAGCAAAGTTATCACACAAATTCTGGAATTCTTCATCCTGACATTCGTCTTCATTTGGCCATCTCTCAATCCAGGTGTCCTTTGTAATGAGGTAGGAAATTCTGGAAAGAAGAAGCAAGCTAGCTTAAAATTTAGCCCTTCAAGGAAATTACTGTTGGAGTAATGTGTTGGGCTTGGACTGAATCCAATATAGTTTTTAATTATTTCATCCTATGAATATGACATTTTAATTTCAATTTCGATTTTAGGGTGAGAGAGGAAACTTTTCTTTTTCTGTAAAATCCGAATCCTAAAACAACTGAATTCTAGAAAATTCAAATGGCTGCTGATTGCTACAATAATGAATGAATTCAGTGATAAGTCAGTTTTGTCTCATAGATTTCTTATCTCCCGTTCTAGACTTTAAGCAATTCAGTTGAGATGTAGAGCGGAAAATTGGATCTGAATGCTACAGATATATACTATCATAGTAAGTATATTTGTGGGACCCAAATGGAATGAAAAACCCCTCCAATTGCCTGCAGCTAGAACCTCTCAAAGGCAAGGAGAATAACAGATGCATCAGACTTGTGGTAGTTAAGACAATCATAAATTCAGGAAGATTTTAAGAAGTATTAGATAAAAATGAGAAAATCCTTATGTTGCTTTGGAAAGTTAAACCACTGAAGCAGTATTTTGATCTTCTTCAGGCAAATGATTATCAACCTTAATGTTTCCAAAAAATACCTTAAACAAAAGGTGCATGTTCCTAAACATAGGATGATTAATTTACTGATGTTGAGTATATAGAGAGGAACAACTACCATATTTTTCGGAGTATAAGACGCACCTTTTTCCCCCCTAAAAGGGGGTGAAAATTTAGGTGTGTCTTATACACTGAATGTAGCCCGGCCCACCCACTGGCCTCCACCCTTTGGCCTGTGCCTCGCAGCAGTTACCTCTTTGCAAACAAATAGCAAGAAAAAACAGCTCCTTTCAGCTTCAGCATAGACTAATTAGCACAAGTTGATTAGATTGGCCTCCCGACTCTCAGCTGATTTGCTCTCAGCTGTTTTGTGCAGGCTCTGCTGCTTGCTGCAAAGAGATAAATTGCTGGAGCAGATTTTTTTTCCCTTGTGCTAATCAAGCTATGCTGAAACTGAAACTGAAAGTAAAGCCTTGCTGCAACAAGGCAAAATTAGGCAGAGGCAGAAGATTACTTTTTCTTTTTTTCCCCCCACCAAAAAAGATAGGTGCAAACAATGGGAAATTTAGGGCAAAAGAGGAGAGTTCAAGATTTTAAAACACAAAAGAAAAAAAGGAGAAAGAAAAAGGCAAAAATAAAAATGGGAAGGGAGAAAAAGAAATGAAAGAGAAAGATGTTATACATATTTAGAATTGAAATATGAATAGTAGTAAGAAATAAATGGGAAATCATGATTGTAAAAATGAAATGAATAATAATTGGAATATTTGTCTTTGTATTTTTGAAATCTAGACAATGATAAGTTTTTATTTTTTATTTTTTTTAGAAATATGAATAAGTATAAACTGTAACAATTGAAATATCTTTAATGGTATATGGTGGTGAAAGTAAAAAGGATTAAATTATAGCTTGGATAACAGCTAGAATATTTTAAAATTTAATTAGGGAAATTGTAATGATTGAAATATTGTTAATTATATATTGTGATGAAAGTAGAAATGATTAAGTTGTGATTTGGAGGATTATATGGGCAAAACTGTGGGTTGTTGGGAGAGTTTAAGATGTGAAAATGAGTAACATAAGAGGGGAAAATTATTTGGTTTATTATTATTGGTAAATATAATTAATTGATTTGTAAGAAATTGGATTGCATGGAAATAATTGGAATATTCATGTTCATATTGATTAATATACAAAAAAAGATAGTTATATAACTAATTGATTTATATTAAAATGTTGAATTTGTATTAAACAATTGTAATATTACATAATTAACCAATGTGAGAATGGATATAAAAATAGATGACAATGGGAAGGGGTATAATATAGAATAGAAGGGAAAAATTGAATTTGATTAAGATTAGAGATGAGGATGAAGGATAATATTGGCAAACACTATTTAAATTTGTGAACCAGCCAAATACTCTGTTCAAAGAAAATACATTGTATGTTTGTATGTGTGTTCGTCTAAAAAATAAAAAAACCACTTTTTTTAAAAAAACCAAAAAAGCTAGGTGCGTCTTATACTCCGAAAAATACGTTAGATGCAACCCTTCCCCAATTGAATTGTCTGTACTATAAAAACAATGGTGGAAATAATTCAGCACAAAGTGAAAGGATTGGATTAGTTGGTCTGGGCTGCACCAAAGAGATACAGACAATTTTCACTTTCTGCTGCCATCGTGTGCAGATCCTTGCAGGCCAGACCTGGAGGCACTGGGAAACTTGAGGTTGTGATAGAAAAGACCCCTCCTGGCAAGCATTAGATATTCCCAGAGAGATTTAGTTGGGCAGATGGTGCTATCCATACATGAAAGAATCTAAAAATCCTAGTTAAGGTAATTCTACAGTCTTCCCCACAAAGTCACATTTAACCTATAGAACTCTTCTGTGGCATCCAGAGGAAGAATGACTATTTTGATGCTAAAAGATTCAGATTATGGTTGCTTTCAAAGTTGTAACACAACATTCTGTGGTATTGTAGTTATATTGTTAGGGGTTCTATGGATTTGATAGCAGGAAAGCAAGGTCTATAAAATTTTAGGATTTTTTTTTAAAAAATAGTGAAATACGTACTCATCTTTCACGTGCCACAGGTCACTAGTGAGACCCCAGATCAGATAATCATCATTCACTTTCAGATTCAGAGCCTCCTGGCATTTCCTTTGACTTACATAATTGCGGGCCTTTGCTTGTGGATTTCGGTCAGTGCCTGCAGAAATTAGATAGAATCTGAATAAATATTTCATTAGGGATATGGTCTTTCATTGGTTTAATACACATACTATATGTATTACATAGCCAATGGCAAGCAACTGGCAAAGAGGAAGCAGCTGTATTAGTGGGTGAATTGGTTCTTTCTTCAACTGCTATTGGTCCATATTTATCGCCCTGGGGTAAACAAACCATCTTCTCAGTTCTATCTTTTTCCTTAGAGAAGCCAATTATATGCAACACAGATACTGCAGCACCTGACACTGCAAAACCAGTTCCTTACCTCAGTCCTGGAGCTGTGGATGATTCAGAGAAGATTCTTATGAACAAACCTGAAAGGAGGGACATTTTTGCAGAGGGAAGGGAGGCTATTGGCAACCCTCCTACAACAAATCCTTCCCCCACTTGTTTGGAGGACCTTCTGACTCCCTGGAGCAGATTGATCAGGATACAGAAAATTGGTAGAATGATAAAAATGTCCCCTCCCCTTTCTTCTCATGGTACTTGCCCTAGTTCCTCATTCCCTCAGACAAAATACTGAATATTTATTTAAAACAGAAACATTCTCTTTAGAAAAACTCTATTGTGAGTTTGAATAACACTAATAATAAAGTGGAATAAGGTACTTCCACAGAAAAAAGAGTGAAGAGATCAGTTTAAAGCTGTCCTCTTAAAACCAAAAAAAAAAAAAAACCAAAAAAAACAACAACCAAAAAACAAAAAGAAAACAAAAAAATTCATTTTTAAAGTTGTATACTATCCCATAATCCTTTTGATAATTCATAATGGTACGAATATGGGAAGTTTAAAGGAATTACTGAAAGACATTTGATGATGATGATGATGATGAAGGGTTGTAAGTGGAAGACTACCTATATTCAAATGCACTTTTTGAGACAATTTCTATCTGATTGCCTGCAGCAAACACTTCACTCTTCTTTAGAAATTTGAGCTTCTATTTTTTTTTTTTAAAATTTGATTTATATGCCGCCCTTCTCCGGAGACTCAGGGTGGCTTACAATGCGTTAAGCAATAGCCTTCATACTTTTATATATTTTATACAAAGTCAGCTTATTGCCCCCACAAACTGGGTCCTCATCCTACCTTAGAAAGGATGGAAGGCTGAGTCAACCTTGAGCCTTGGAGAGATTCGAACCTGCAGAAATTGCAGGCAGTTGTGTTAATAACAGGGTGCATTAAACCCCTGTACTACCAAGGCTCCTATACAAGGCTTCTATACAATAAAATATGTCCTATTAGCACTTGAAACACTAAGTTTTTAATGGCTGTCCTCTTTTTCCCTTTGAGACAACTATGGCACTATTTCTCAAGGAAAGTTCTAGCAAACACTGAAGTTCTGATCATACAGATGAAAATTCAGTTGGTAAGAAAGTTCTCCCTGGTATCTTGGGTGATCCCCACCCTGTTGGAACTGGCTTCAAGACTTTAGGTTAGAGTGACTGGGGTTCCTGTCAGGTACGTTTGGGAGTGTGGATGTTATCAGCTGGATTCAGCCTGTGTTCCTGTTCTTTATTCATTTGTCCTGTTCCATTAATAAGTTCAATATATTGCATTTTCAATTTTGTTTGATTGTATTGTACACTGTCCAGAGTCGCTTTAGATTGGGGGGCAATTAAAATGAATATATTAAATCAAGTTAAATACACTAATGTGAACTTTCAAATGGGGTTCAAATAAACTTTCAGATTTTGTGAAAATGTTTCCACTATTTAATATGTGATATATTTAAGGGAAAATTCTTACCTCTTTTAATAACTTCTAAAACATCCATGACATAGATATCATTACCATCTTTTTCTTCTATTCGAAGCAGCTTGGTTTTGTAGACTTATAAGAACAAAGACAGAAACAATACTCAATTAGACAGCTGATTATTTTTCACCATGAGCGGCATAATCAGTGAGGCACAGGTGCTGCTAGTTGTCTATGGAGATTCCCAATCATCCAGGTCATGGTTGTCCCAAAGATGCTTTTCCAAAAGGCAACTGGATTTCCTTTCTTACCAAGAAAGTCCAGTTGCCTTTTGGAAAAGCACCTTTGGGACAGGTACTGCTAACGTTTCCACCTAGACTATGGGCACTTCCAGGCTGGATCTTTGTGGCAGTCTAGAATCCTCCAAGTGAGGCCACTGAGTACTAGCTCCACTGTGGGGTACATGGAAGCAAATTGTGTATTTTCTCTTGCATGTTGTGGTTCTGTGAGTGTGATAGTATTGTCAGCCTTGAGAGGTAGTCCAGACAGGAAACATGGCCAGACACACTAACATTACTTTTTTGAAGGATTGAGAGTGAAAACAGTGAGAGTGTGGAGTGTGGAAATGTTATCTGAATCCCGGTGTTTTGGCTCCGCTTATTCATTTATCCAGATCTATTTCTAGGAGCCCTTAATTGTTATGCTACCCCAGAGGGTCAATAACACACCAACAAGCGAGTATAAGATATTATAATGGAATGTAATATTTAATGTGTAGTAGGTATGTATATATAATATATTGATTATAAGAATAAGTATGAACCGCCCAGCCGCCCTGTTTAGGGTGACCCGCTCCCTACTTCAGATGGGAGCACGGGATGATCCCTTGCAGGGTAGAGCTGAGGATTTTGTGCAATATCTGCATGATAAAATCGCTCAGATTCGGGACAGCCTGGACTCCGATTGGGTAGCCTCGGATGGGATGATAGGGGCAGATCTTGAGAGTGTTATCTGGGAGGAGTTTGACCCTGTGGCTCCTGAGGACGTGGACAGGATTTTGGGGAGACTCAACGCTACCACATGTTTATTGGACCCGTGTCCCTCCTGGTTGGTGCTGGCCTCCTGGGAGGTTACACGAGGCTGGTTTCAGGGGATTATTAATGCTTCTTTGAGTGAGGGTGTCTTTCCAGCCGCTTTGAAAGAAGCAGTGGTGAGGCCCCTCCTCAAGAAGCCCTCCCTGGACCTGGCTATATTAGCTAATTACCGTCCGGTCTCCAACCTCCGCTTTGCGGCGAAGGTTGTTGAGAGTGTGGTGGTGCGACAGCTTCCTCAATACCTGGATGAAGCTGTCTATCTAGATCCGTGCCAGTCGGGCTTCAGGATGGGTTACAGCATGGAAACGGCACTGATCGCATTGGTTGATGATCTCTGGAGGGCTCGGGACAGGGGATGCTCTTCAGTCCTGGTCCTCCTAGATCTCTCAGCGGCTTTTGATACCATCGATCATGGTATCATGCTGCGTTGGTTGGGGGGACTGGGAGTGGGACTGGGAGGCACCATGTTGTGGTGGCTCTCCTCCTTTCTCTCCGACCATACGCAGTCTGTGTTGACGGGGGGGGGGCAAAAGTCGACCTCGAGTCACCTTACTTGTGGGGTGCCGCAAGGGTCAGTCCTCTCGCCCCTCCTGTTCAACATTTATGTGAAGCCGCTGGGGGAGATCATCTGTGGTTTTGGGGTGAAATGTCAACTGTATGCCGACAACACGCAGTTGTACATTTCTACCTCGGACCACCCCAATGATGCCCTTGACGTGATGTCCCGATGCCTGGAGGCCATGCGGATCTGGATGGGGAGGAACAGGCTCAGACTCAACCCCTCCAAGACTGAGTGGCTGTGGTTTCTGGCGCCCCGATATAGCCAGCTGGTACCATCGCTGGCTATTGGGGATGAGATCTTACCCCCCCTCAGAGAGGGTTCACAACTTGGGCGTCCTCCTGGATACGCGGCTGTCTTTAGATGATCATATGATGGCCGTGGCCAGGGGGGCTTTTTATCAGGTTTGCCTGATTTCCCAGTTGCGTCCCTTTCTGGATCGGGATGCCTTACACACAGTCACTCATGCCCTTGTCACTTCCCGTCTGGACTACTGTAATGCTCTCTACATGGGGCTCCCCTTGAGGAGCACCCGGAGGCTCCAACTGGTCCAGAACGCGGCCACGCAAGTGGTTATGGGGGCGACCTATCGCTCCCATATAACACCTCTCTTGCGCGAGCTGCACTGGCTCCCAGTGGTCTTCCGGGTGCGTTTCAAAGTGCTAGTCACCATCTTCAAAGTGCTCCATGGCTTAGGACCAGGATACTTACAGGACCGCCTTCTGACACTGCATGCCTCCCACCGCCCGATACGCTCCCACAGAGAGACCCTCCTCAGGGTGCCGTCAGCCAAACAATGTCGGCTGGCGACCCCCAGGGGGAGAGCCTTCTCTGTGGGGGCTCCTGCCCTATGGAATGAGCTGCCCCCGGACATAAGGAAGATCCCCGACCTCCGCATCTTCTGTCGTGCGCTGAAGACTTTATTGTTTCAGCAAGCCGGCCTGACCGAATGAATTAACTTAAGTGGGTTTTAATGGTTTTAAAGGGGTTTTAGCTAGGGGTTTTAAATACGGCCAATGCTTTAAATTATTTTAAATTGTTTTTAATTTTTGTGTTGGTATTATTTTATCATGGCTGTACACCGCCCTGAATCTTTCGGGAGAAGGGCGGTATAGAAATATAATAAATAAATAAATAAATAAAATGTAACAAACAAAATGTGTATGTATATAGTTGGCTGAAAGATAAAATGGATATTACTAAAGATGCCGTTATTGGAAAGCTGCAAAAGTTTAACTAAGATTTTAAAGATGTAAATGTTGAATAAAAATATTTTTTTTAAAAAAAACACACCAACAAACAGCACCATGTTAACTAGAAAAATATCACTGCAGGATGAAGATGTATAGCAGCAGCTAAGCATTCGGAGGATAAAAAAAATCCATGAATATTATGAATAAATTCAAAATGGTTGCTTCAAATCATGACTTCATGATAGTTAGAAGTATACTGTTAACAATGAAAGACACCACTACCTTTTTAATAAGATTCTACAATATAAATACCATAATCCACATTTGGTTCGCAGGCTTCTTTAATTCGTAACGGAAGATCAATCTTTTCCTGCTGGCTGAGCAAGGAACAGGTTTCTTCAAGGGGAGAAAAGAGAAGACAGAATGTTGGATTGATTGTTGAGGATACATGTTCTGATTTAAAAGACATGGCTAGGGCCAGCACAGAGCAGCTAACATCTCATTTGTAGAAGACATCTGTGTTTGATAATCAGAAACAAGTAACACTAATTTAAATGTGGCACCGTATATCTAGGGCTAATCTACAAACATAGTTATTTGATAATGTGATATTTCAAATAACAGAATAACAGACAGGGTTGTAAACCTTAGAGATCTAGTCTAACCCCCTGCTCAGGCAGGAAATTCTGTACCATTTCAGACAAATGAGCCACGGCGGTGCAGTGGTTAGAGTGCAGTACTGCAGGATACTTCTGCTGCCTGCCGGCTGCCTGCAATTTGGCAATTCAAATCTCACCAGGCTCAAGACTGACTCAGCCTTCCATCCTTCCGAGGTGGGTAAAATGAGAACCCAAATCGTTGGGGGCAATATGCTGACTCTGTAAACCACTTAGAGAGGGTTGTAAACCACTGTAAAGTGGTATATAAGTCTAAGTGCTATTGCTATTGCTAAATGGTTATCCAATCTCTTCTTAAAAACTTCCATTGTTGGAGCACCCACAACTTCTCAAGGGAAGTTGTTCCACTGGTTAATTGTTTTCCTTAGAGAAAATTTCTCATTAATTCTAGGTTGCTTATCTGCTTAGTTAGTTTCCATCCATTGATTCTTGTCCTACCTTCAGGTGCTTTGGAGAATAGGTTGACCCCCTCTTCTTTGTGTCTGTCCCTTAGATATTGGACCACTGCTATTATGTCACTCCTAGTCCCCCTTTTCATTAAACTAGACATACCCAATTCCGGCAACTGTTCTTTATATGTTTTAGCTTCCAGTCCCCTAATCACCTTTGTTACTTTTCTTTGGACTCTTTCTACATCTCAACATCTTTTTTACATCGTAAACAGGATGCAGTATTCCAAGTGTGGTCTTACCAAGGCATTTTAAAGAGGTATTAATACTTTACGTGATCTTGATTCTATCCCTCTGTTAATGCAGCCTAGGTCTGTGTTGGCTTTTTTGGCAGCTGCAGCACACTGCTAGCTTATATTTACATGATTGTCCACTAGGACAAGAGGAAATAAAGCTACTACTATTCATGTAGATATCACCTATACTATACATGTGAATTTTGTTTTTCTTGCCTAAATGTAGAACCTTACTTTTTTCACCATTGAATTTCATTTTGTTAAATAGCACCCAATGTTCAAATCTGTCAAGATCCTTCTGTATCTTCAGCCTCTCTTCTGGAGTGTTGGCTATTCCTGCCAGCTTGTTGGCTATTCCTCAGCCTTCCATCCTTCCGAGGTAGGTAAAATGAGAACCCAAATCATTGGGGGCAATATGCTGACTCTGTAAACCACTTAGAGAGGGTTGTAAAGCACTGTAAAGTGGTATATACGTAAGTCTAAGTGCTATTGCTATCTTTTCTTTAAAACTTCCATTGTTGGAGCACCCACAACAATGGAACAATAGTTCCACATCTATCACCTCATCTAAATAATTGATGAAGCTATAGAAGTATACTGGGCCTAAGACAGAACCTTGGGGTACCCACTCCATACTCCCCTACATGTAGATGCAGTTCCATTAAGGACCATACATTGAGTGTGGTTTGTCAGCCAGTTACAAATCCATCTGATGGTGATGCTGTCTAACTCACATTTTTCTATCTTATCAAGTAGTAGGTTGTGGTCTACTTTATCAAATGCACTTTCTTATTTTCTCTGAAGAGAAAATCAGATAAGAATTGTGCTGTATTTAAGGAGCAAAGGAAACACTGGGTCTTTCAAAAGCAAATCTGGCAGCTCTGACATAAGGTTTATTATGCTCTGAAATAAAAATTCAGTAATTGTGATGAACTCCGAACTAGCAATCTTTGGTATCTCCTGTTTCAAGTATGAATAAATCATTGATGGGATATCACGTAAATTGCATTTCGAGAAGAAGTCTATAAATAAATTATCTGGAAGTTATCATCACTCATATGGGGACTTATTAACGGCTTCACCATTTATTGATGATTGGTTGCAGATTAGTTTCAGATTGCAAATTCTTTTACTCTATATAATATCAAGTCATATCCCCACTTTCTATATTATTTTCATGACAATGATACATGAAGGAGTCTGAAATCAATAGATTTGTAGATAAGTAGGACTTAAACCTGGATCTACACACAATGTTCTGACAACCTGCTACTTCACCCAGATTGTCTAATCTTCATTTTTGTCACCTATGTCACACAGTGGTGCGTAGCAGAGAAACTAAGCTTGTCTGCCTGTTTCTAATCTGTTTTTCTCTCCATCTTCTCCTGTGTGTTAGAGAGAGGGACAGATCAACTGGGAAGCAGGAAGCCAAAAGACACATGCTCTCAGTTGATGAAGAGAAAGATGTACCAACTTCTGATCTTCTGCAGTTGCTTGTCCAACTGGAAGGAATGGAAGGAAATTGACCATGGTCATCAGAGAGGGGCATGTCCCACAGGAGAATGGCATTTGTTAAATATTCATATTGTATGGATACATTTTTGTTTAACTTTATTTCCTTGGTATTAACTGCTTTGATCATACATTAGATTTAAAAGGGGGGGACAGCTCATAAGTAAACATAGAAATGTGTGGAAACAATGAATCTTCAATCACATGTAAACTCCTTAGTAATCGTTTTATGAAGTATTGCAACTACTAAGATCCAGCAACTCTCTCCTCATATTATTTTATAGAGCACAGAGTCCAAAGTTTCCAAACAGATTCAGATTGATTGATTCAAATTTTATCATTGATTAAATTTGAATTAAATTTATATTTGTCATAGATTCCAAACTAACTCTTCCCCAACTCTTCCATTTTGGTGCTCAGAGACAACATTTATCTTATTTCTCCCAACTTACCTTCTGCACATCGGCAAATGTTACCATGACATATCTTATTGAGAAGGCCTGTTCTTTTATCTGGATGGTAGAACTTGGTACATTTTTCATCTAAAGGAAGAGTTAAAAGTTATGTCCATACTTCACATCAAGAAAACTATGGTGATTATAGATTTAATTACAGTTAGTCCTCAATTTACAATCATTCGTTTAGTGACTGTTCAAAGTTGTAACAGCACTGAAAAAGTGACTTATGACCATTTTTCACACTTATGACCAGTGGTAAAATCCCTCCAGTTCTATCCAGTTCGCAGAGGCTCCACCCACCTGCCAGGACATCATTACGTCCCCTTTTTTAACCATCTGCATGTATAGGCGTGCAGAAGAGGCGCGCATGCAGGGGAGAGCGTGCACGCTCCCGTTCCCAAACTGGTAGCAAAGGTAAGTGGATTTCACCGCTGCTTATAACCATTGCAAAATCCCCATGGTCGTGTGATTTACATTCAGATGCTTGACAACTAGTTCATATTTATGACGGTTGCAGTGTCCTTGAGTCATGTGATCATCTTTGAGACCTTTTCACAAGCAAAATCAAAGCGGAAGCCAGATTCGCTTAAAAACTGTGTTACTAACTTAACAACTGCAGTGATTCACTTAACAATTGTGGCAAAAAAGATTGTCAAATGGGGCAAAGCTCACTTAACAAATGTCTCACTTAGTAACATAAATTTTGGGTTCAATTGTGTTCATAAGTCAAGGAGTACCTGTATTTAGAAAAAAAGTAATCCATTATTCTCAGGGAGATTTCAAATTTGGGGCATGTCTAACCTGACAGTGCAATGGAAACTTATCAAGAGTGATGATTGGCTAAATGAGTTTTGTTAAGCATTTACCCAAGAAGCAGAGGGTGCTACAATGCATTAAGAAATGTAAGAGAGGATATTCCCATTATCTAATGGAGTTAGGAAGTTGGAATATGGATACCTGCAGGATTCTGCTCCTTTTGTCAAAAAAGATGAAAATTGCAATGTGTTGCATGTTTTGGGCATGCATGTGATGCCCCAGTTAACATAAGGAAGGGATTGTGGTATGACAGCACAATGCTTACTTTTGTCATTCTAACTCTTCTTGACGCCTCCTGTAGATGCCACTTTTTGATACTATAAAATAGACTACAAATAGTTCTTGGTTTATGACTAGAATTAAGCCCTGAATGTTGATCGTAAATTGTTCCTTTCATGTTGAGTCTTCATATGACTGGACTCCATTGTATAACCATTTTTATATTGCTTGTTAAGTCAATTACTATAGTTGTTAAGTGAATCACATGGTCTTTAAGTAAGTCATGTGGTTGTAAGTTTGAATCCAGCTATTTATATGGTAGATTTTTGCCTTTTTTTTTTTTTTTGCTGAAGAACCTACACTCATGATTCTTATGGTTTTCTATAAAAACCAATGCCTTGTAGTATTAAAGGCTTTAATTTTACGAAGCGTCTGTGCAATATTAAATATAATGTCTGTGCAACATTAAATATAATACCCTGGCTCTGGTATTAGCAATACTAATGCCAATATGGAGTATTATTAAGGTAGTCCTCACTTAGTGACCACAACTAGGACTGGCAACTTGATTGCTAAGCAGAAAATCCTGTGACTGCAACTGGACTTATGACCTTTCTTCCCTTGGTCGTTAAGCAAAGAGATGCAGTCACAGAGTGAAAAATAACATGATTGCAACTTACAATTTTACTCCCACTTTCCAAACTGTACCATATCAATCCTACATGTATGCTGGTTGTGAAATATGCAAATGGCAATCAAATCACTGAGGGCAATAGTTGTAATTTGAAGGATTAGTCATGAAATTATTTTTAGCACTGTTGTAACTTTGAAAGGTTGCAGCATCCCATGTATGTTGGTAAGCAAAGACTACAAGTGCCTTATAAGTGAGACTATAGGCCAATAATCTCATATTTTCACTGCAGTTAACAAGACCTAGTGAGAGTGAGATCAAAATGGGGACAAATTGACCTTCCAGGCAAGTTAGGTAGCCTGCCCGAGCCCTTTGACACAGCAAGCGATCTTAGGGTTGCATCTATATGTAAAATCAGTGCAGCAGAATGTCTTGGATGGACACATCCTTTCCTGAAATTAAAGCTCAATCCATTGATCTGTGCTGCCAACAAAAGGGAATTAGAACTGGTCATGGGTGCCTGTCGGTTCGGGTTTCTCATCATTTCCATCTTGGCAAATATGTCAGGTCTGATTAGTTGGACTGGAGATTTTTTAAAACAATTATTTTCTATTCTTTTAACATTTCAGAAATGTGTATGCATTTGAGGGTATGTTTTCAATTTTGCAATTTTGCCTACTAGATACAGGTTTTACAGGTAATTTTCTCTGAAGTATTTTCATGATTTTGCACATTTCATGGTTAACACACTTGTAAGTGGATCATAAGCTTCCTAACAAACAAGAAGCAGCAGGTGAAGCTAAGCAGAATCACATCAGATACCTGTACAATTAGCACAGCCCCCCCCCCCAAGGCTGTGTGCTCTCCCCACTTCTCTTCTCTGTATACCAATGACTGCATCTCTAATAATCCATCTGTTAAACTACTGAAGTTCACAGATGACACAACAGTGATCGGTCTCATTCGAGTGAATCTGTATACAGATGGGAGGTTGAATAACTAGCCTCGTGGTGTGACTGGAACAATCTGGAACTGAACGCACTCAAAACCGTAGAAATGATGGTAGACTTTAGGAGAAACCCTTCCATACTTCCACCTCTCACAATACTAGACAACACAGTATTAACAGTAGAGACCTTCAAATTTCTAGGTTCTACCATATCACAAGATATAAAATGGACAGCTAACATCAAAAAGTCATCAAAAAAGCACAACAAAGAATGTTCTTTCTGCGCCAACTCAGAAAGCTCAAACTGCCCAAAGAGCTGTTGATACAGTTCTATAGAGGAATTATTGAGTCTGTCATCTGCACCTCTATAACTGTCTGGTTTGGTTCTGCAACCCAACAAGACAGACACAGACTTCAGAGGATAATTAGAACTGCAGAAAAAATAATTGCTACCAACCTGCCTTCCATTGAGGACCTGTATATTTCACGAGTCAAAAAGAGGGCTGTAAAAATATTTACAGACCCCTCGCATCCTGGATATAAACTGTTTCAACTCCTACCCTCAAAATGAACACTGCACACCAGAACAACTAGACACAAGAACAGTTTTTTTCCTGAACACCATCACTCTACTCAACAAATAATTCCCTCAACACTGTCAAACTACTTACTAAGTCTGCACTACTATTAATCTTCTCATCGTTCCCATCACCCATCTCCTTCCACTTATGACTGTTGCTTTTAACTTTATGATTTATATTGATATTGTTTCCTGATTGCTTATTTGTACCCTATGACTATCATTAAGTGTTGTACCTTATGATTCTTGATGAACGTATATTTTCTTTTGTGTACATCCAGAGCATATGCACCAAGACAAATTCCTTGTTTGTCCAATCACACTTGGCCAATAAAAAAATCTATTCTATTCTATTCTATTCTATTCTATTCTATTCTATTCTATTCTATTCTATTCTATTCTATTCTATTCTATTCTATTCTATTCTATTCTGGGTGAGATCATTCGTGGTTTTGGGGTGAATTACCATCAATATGCTGGTAATACTCAGCTTTATATCTCCACCCCGGACCACCCTGGGGATGCCCTTTCCGTGATGTCCCGCTGCCTGGAAGCGGTGCGGGCCTGGATGGGAAGAAACAGACTCAGACTCAACCCATCCAAAACTGAGTGGCTGTGGATGCCAGCATCCCGTGATCTAGTGGTCCCGTCACTTGTGATAGAGGGAAGGTACTCACTCCCTCAGAAAGGGTTCACAATCTGGGTGTTCTCCTGGGGTCACAGCTATCTTTAGAAGATCATCTGATGGCCGTGACCAGGGGGGCCTTTGCACAAGTACACCTGGTGCGCCAGTTGCACCCTTTCCTAGACCGGGATGCCCTTCTCACAGTCACTCACGCCTCTTGTTACTACTGGACTACTGTAACACCCTCTACACGGGGCTGCCCTTGGGATGCACCCGGAGGCTACAGCTAGTCCAGAATGCGGCCGTGCGGGTTGTTATGGGGGCTTCTCGTTACTCCCGTGTGACACCTCTCCTGCGTGAGCTGCACTGGCTGCCGGTGGTCCTTCGGGTCCGTTTCAAGGTGCTGGTGCTCACCTATAAAGCCCTACATGGCTTAGGCCCAGGGTACTTGCAGTATCATCTCCTGCCATCCTCCCATCGTCCCGTGCACTCCCACAGAGCGGGCCTCCTCAGGGTGCCATCAGCCAGACAATGTCGGCTGGCGACCCCCAGGGGGAGAGCGTTCTCTGTGGGAGTGCCGATCCTCTGAAACGGTTTGCCGACCGGGCTTAGGACAGCCCCTGACCTCCTCTCCTTCTGCCGCGAACTGAAGACGTGGCTCTTTTATCAAATGGGCTGATCCATTGGGGGATTTTTACATTGAAATAATTTTAATAAATTTTAATTGGATTTTAATTTTTATGTAATTTTCGAATTGTTGAATGTTTTCTTTGTAAGCCGCCCTGAGTCCTTCAGGAGAAGAGCGGCATATAAATTACATAAATAAATAAACTATTCTATTCTATTCTATTCTATTCTATTCTATTCTATTCTATTCTTTCTATTTCTATTTCTATTTCTATTCTATTCTACTCTAAAGAGCTGCACTGAAAATGCTATTCAGACATAAAAATGATAATGAACTTTCAAAATACTAATTAGAATGCAAAACTCTTCCTCAGCCAGGATAAGCTCAGTACCACATTTTCCCCCTAAAGATGAGCATCACGTTGCCCACCAATGTGGGGAAATTAGGAAGAGGGAAGTGTATTCAATACATTTGACTTTACCTAGATTGTAGTAGCTGTACACCTTGACTGATCCTGGCTGAATGAAACCAACTTCAAAATGCTTGAGAATCT